AAAGTATTAGTTCTAATAATAATTATAATAAATTAAATGTAAGTGGAAGATGATGTTGTCAAAGCTATCATATTAAAAAACCCACACATATCCTGTTGCTTCTCCCCAGGGATCTGCCAAGTTAGAGAAGGCGGAAATATTGCAGATGACAGTGGATCACTTGAAGATGCTCCAGGCCACAGCAGGAAAAGGTAGTCTGCTTGTTATTGGCTCCTGTTTTGCACACCACCTAACGCTGTAGTGAAATTTGAGTACAGAGTTCCCTTTTGACCAGATTAAAGTGGAAATCAATGTTAATGGTAGGATTGAACTCGTGGGAAAGTGCCGGCAGGACAAAAGAAGCACTTGACCCTGGGATTGTGTTTGCTTTCATAAATCCATGGGAGGGGAGTGGGGCCACATTCACAGGCTGCACTGTTGGGGGTTTGTTAGGGCTTTCCAATGAGTGTTAAAACCGAAGCACTGGGGAGACAAAACAAACATACAAACAGGTCAGGTCACAATCCCGGTCTGCTTAGCTTTAGCCTCTCGAGCACAGTGGGGTTGCATTTGACTCATCATGATTAAAGCTTCAAATCAAGTCACCTTTATTTATTTAGCGCTTGAATTGTTTCACAGCAGCTTCGTGGTAATAAGTAGGAAAATAACAGAATCAGTGATGCAAACTTGATCAAATATATGATAAATTCAACATCTGCTGAAAAGCAGCTCTACAGAAACAATAATGTCATTAATCAGCTCATCAGTTCAGTGTTAATTCAATTCAGTTCAATAACTGAAAAGTTCATCAATTATGAAATGAGTTCAATTCAGCTATAAAGCAGCTCTACACAAGACAATAGTGTCTTTATTTAGCTCGAGTCAGTTCAGTGTTGATTCAGTTTAAATCAATATTAGTGTAAAATGTATCAATTATGAAATGAGTTCAATTCAGCTACAATCAGCTCTATAGAAGACAATAGTGTCATTATTGAGCTCAACTGTTGATTCATAGTTTAATAAAAGTGTCGCTATTGTAATTAAATTCAGCTATAAAAGCAGCTCTATAAAAGATAGTAGTGTCATCATTCAGATCAAGTTTTGTTCTGATCCATTGGTGTCAGTGCAGTCAAATCGATAATGCAGTATTACTGAATATTAAGTGTCTTTTAAACCCAAATTACATCAGGTGATAGAAATGGAGGGGGAAAAAAAAGCTTGGGAGAGAAGCGTGGCATTCACATTTTAATTGTTCTCTCTCTCACTCTCTCAGGATACTTTGATGCTCATTCTCTGGCCATGGACTTCATGAGCATCGGCTTTCGGGAGTGTCTTACTGAAGTGGCGAGGTATTTGAGCTCCGTTGAAGGTCTGGACTCCAGCGACCCCCTCCGCATCCGCTTGGTTTCTCACCTCAGCAGCTGCGCCTCGCAGAGGGAAGCGGCCGCCATGACCACATCAATGGCCCATCACCAGCAGGCCCTCCACCCGCATCAGTGGGCCGCCGCTTTGCATCCCATCCCAGCAGCGTTCCTGCAACAAAGTGGACTTCCGTGCTCCGAGAGTTCCTCTATCAGGCTGTCTGAGGTTCCTCAGAGGAGTGCAGCCCTGTTGACCTCCTCCTTCACCCACAGTGACTCCGCGCTCAGAGCGCCCTCTACTGGCAGCATCACTCCTTGCGTACCGCCGCTGTCCACCTCGCTGCTTTCGATATCGGCGACCGTTCATGCGGCGGCCGCTGCTGCAGCGGCACAAACCTTCCCTCTAACGTTTCCCGGTGGATTCCCGCTTTTCAGCCCCAGCGTAATGGCATCTTCGGTGGCTTCTTCCTCCGTGAGCCCTTCCGTTTCCACATCCACCACATCCCAACAGAGCAGCGGAAGCAGCAGTAAACCATACCGACCGTGGGGGACTGAAGTGGGAGCGTTTTAAGTGTTGGATTTGCTCTTGTTGCATCTGGACGTCTTCCACACTTTGTACATAAAGGAAACAAAACAGCTATTGTGCCTGCTTTGGTCAGCACTTTGGGTTTTTTCTTTACACTTGTACACATATGCAACATCAAACATAAGCCAACTTTCTGAGAGGGAAAGAAAGACTGACTTTACACTTCAAGCTGCGTGAAAACCCATAACGATGAAGAGCGATTTTCATTTTTGAAGAAAAAATCAGTTACTGTTTTAACTTCATGTAAAGGACTGTACTGTGCGACAGTGCCTGCATAAACACTGCTAAAATACTGCATTTGAGATGTATGCTTATAGAAAAAGCATATGTGATTTTCACAAACATACAGTAGCTTTAGAGTAAAACAGAACAGTTTGTTCAAAGACAAACCAAAGGTTTTGCAGATAATCACTAAAGTCAGGTGTGAATCAGTTTTGTAATCTATGATTTAACAATCCAGTTTGTAAATCTGTATATGTGTAAGATTGTAACTAGAGTTTATATTGAAATTAGACAGATGAGTTGGTATGATGCACTTCAATCACTACTGTTTTTTGGGGGAGACAGGATCTTCTCCACTTTACACAATAGGCCTACTGTATTTTTTAAAAATAACATTCACTAATACTCATATGTGAGATTTTCTACTACTGGAACTTTGTTACCTTTTTAATAACCCTACCATGCTCTGTAAGATGTAACCTTTTTTCTATGCAAAAAAGAAAAAAAAACAGATGTCCCTAAAGAAACTGCGTGTTTTTTCATTCTGACACCATAAAACCATCATTCCATTTGCTTTCACCACAACAGATCGTGGAATGTTATGAGAGAAAGTAATTGTTTTCCCATAGCATAATTTGAGTTCTTGAAATTGTATGGTGGAAAAAAATATTTGTGTTCTTTTATGTGTTTTTCTAATAATGCAAAAGAAGCCAATGAAGTGAAACAAACAACTGCAATTATAAGTGCCACTTCAACAGTTATAAATCTGTCGACAAACTTTAAAGTAAGCTACAAACACATTTATTGAATAAAACACACCAACATTCTACATCGTTACATAATCACCAGCTATTTTAAATGTTCACTTTTGTTTGTAAAAACTTTCATTGCCAAATCTGACACTGCAATGATTTCAATTATCACTGTCAAACATTTTAGATAACCTAAAATATGTTTAATGTGGTAACATCTATGGTTTTGTTGGTCAAAAATATTCAAAAAGTAATTTTTAAAAGTAACTACAAACAACTTTAAAGTAAGCTTAAAAAAAAAGCCATTTTAAATATGTTCACGTTTGCTTATAAAATCTGACAATGCCGAATTTGTTGATGTTGCAGCCATTTCTAAATAACATTTAAGCAGTTCTCATTTGATGTTTGCTGTTATTCAAAGACAAGGTCCCTCAAGGTCCCCCTTGGTCCCTCAGGGACAGCTCAAGTCAAAACTTATGTAGCTATTCTGGCGGGCGTGAACAAACCGCCGGTCGGACTGCAGTATAGTGCGCCACATGAAAGCACAACAACACCAGTCACTCCTCCCCAAGATGGGTCTTTATGCCGCCCTAATCCAATCCCTTTATGCCAGGGTCTGTTAGACAGATTTACATTAGTAAATCACTGTCACACCATTAAATTCCTTAAGAGAAAACGTATCAGCATTTCCAAGTGAATGGGGATTAAGGCAAACAGCGCCTGCTACCCACCGGCAATCATGGGAAAAGTGTGGGGCCATAAATCCGCCGGTTATCTGCTTTAGAGCGACTGGTTCTCACGCCGGGCCCCTGCCTTTGAAGTGGCCGTCATATATCAAGGGCGCACATGATCTCCCCAAAACATCACACAGGCAAAGAGTCAGCGGTGTGAATGTGGTCAGTAAGCCTGTCAGCTTCATTAGTTTCCACACATGAAAATGGTTTAGCTACTACAAGATGTGTTTCATGCTCCAGACCACAGGATAAAAGCAGCATAGATATGATCATAGCTCACATAGATCATATTCTAGGCTCTAGGGCACAGGATCAGTCATTTTGACTTTTTAGCCTGAACTGTTTGGTATTATTTGTAACATTTAATATACTGAAGAGGATGTATTGAGCATATGAATGTGAATTTTAAGAGAATATATTTTCTTATGCAGTGTTTCTAATTGCAAAACATAAAGATTATGATTATGAACTGTCCTCCCACATTTTTAAAATGTGATAACAGCAAATCCATATAGGACAGACAGATAGATAGATAGATAGATAGATAGATAGATAGATAGATAGATAGATATAACATCAGTCTATCAATAGTATGTGCATGTGCCCATAGACTGACGTTGCGTCTTCCTGCTTTTCAGCATCTTGCGCCATTTTTTAAAGGTGCCATGTAGTCAGCTTCATTAGTTTCCACACATGAAAATGGTTTAGCTACTACAAGATGTGTTTCATGCTCCAGACCACAGGATAAAAGCAGCATAGATATGATCATAGCTCACATAGATCATATTCTAGGCTCTAGGGCACAGGATCAGTCATTTTGACTTTTTAGCCTGAACTGTTTGGTATTATTTGTAACATTTAATATACTGAAGAGGATGTATTGAGCATATGAATGTGAATTTTAAGAGAATATATTTTCTTATGCAGTGTTTCTAATTGCAAAACATAAAGATTATGATTATGAACTGTCCTCCCACATTTTTAAAATGTGATAATAGCAAATCCATATAGGACAGACAGATAGATAGATAGATAGATAGATAGATATAACATCTAAAAAAGTAACAAAACATACTAGTACCAAGGTATTCTTTGACAAAAACTTGAATAGCATGTAAATAATATGGTACATACAAATGGTACATTATTTAATACCATAGTATATATCAAATGGTATTTCCAACACTTTACCACCACAGTAACGTTTTGTATAGGAATTATTAACATAAAATAATTTTAAAAAAAAACAATTTCCTCATTATGTTTTATCTTGATGGCACTACAACGTCAAAATATATTAAATGGTGAGGTGTGAAGTCTGAAGACAACAAATGGATCTTCACTAGAGAAATGCTGCCATCTGGTGCGAGATCATTTTAAGCCGCAGCTTGTTCTTCATTCAGTCGCTCATTTTTGCAGACTACGTGCAATCAATTAGCATTTATATATATATTTTTTCTGCTCTAGTTTCTATTTTATAAAACCACATAGAATAAAAAAAAAATAAAAAAAAATAACACGATACATTTTATATTAAACTATCTTCAAGATTGACATCATCCTCATCTGACCAATCACAGCTTCGCGTTTTTCCACGCAGTCAAAACACGGAAGTAAACATCTGGTATACACATGTTTTGCGCTGAATGTATCTACCTTGCAAACGCATTGATTTCCTGATGTAACTTACCGTTGTATTGATGGTTGAGAATGTATCAAGCTTTCGCCGTTGTCGACAAATGTTTGGCGTTTTAACACGTAATAGGTTATTTATCGTGAATACATTTTTGGTGGACTTTAGAGTCAATAGTGCAGTGACCTAGGCGTTACTTCTGCACCGAGTTATTAGAGAGTATGAAGTCGTTTAAATCTCCAGGCCGTCATGGATATGCGGTGGAGATTTCACCTTTTTTGGCTTCTACGATCGCCTGTGCGTCATCGCAGTATTATGGAATAGCAGGTAATATTTGGAATATTGCATGAACATACATAAATGCCAATGAAAACTCTTCGTGTCTTTTAGGATGTGGGACACTTTTTGTGCTGGAGCAGAGAGAGGCAGATGTTTCACTTGTGAAAAGGTAATTTGTTGGCCTCTTTTAAGACTTCATTTTTTTTTATGACATAATACAGTGTTTTTACACACACATATCACACGCGTGTGTGTGTGTGTGTGTGTGTGTGTGTGTGTGTGTGTGAGAGAGAGAGAAAGAGCGAGAGAGAGAGAGAGTGTGTGTGTGTGTGTGTGTGTGTGTGAGAGAGAGAGAAAGAGCGAGAGAGAGAGAGAGAGAGAATAAATAATAAATAAGCCTTCCATTGATGTATAGTCTGTTAGGATAGGACAATATTTGACCGAGATGCAACTATTTTAAAATCTGCAATCTGAGGATGCAAAAAAAATAAAAATAAAAATATTGAGAAAATCGCCTTTAAAGTTGTCCAAATGAAGTTCTTAGCAATGTATATTACTAATCAAAAATTAAGTTTTGATATATTTACGGTAGGAGATTTACAAAATATCTTAATGGAACATGATCTTTACTTAATATCGTAATGATATTTGGCATAAAAGAAAAATCTATCATTTTGACCCATACAATGTATTTTTGGCTATTGCTACAAATATACCCGTGCAACTTAAGACTGGTTTTGTGGTCCAGGGTTACATATATAATTTTATTTATGTATTTATTAGCAATAAGTAATTAGAATATAGGATAACTTTTTTAAGGCCACCGTAGATGCAGGTATGCAGAGTCAAGGAGAAGTGGAGATGTGACTGATCATTAAATAGAGGTTGAGTATCTTTTTGTCTCCTACACAGTTTTAACTGGAATGACGGGCTCTTCGATGTGACATGGAGTGAGAACAATGAACATGTGCTGGTGACGGGAGGAGGTGATGGATCTTTGCAGATCTGGGACACGGCCCACACGCAAGGTCTTCTGCAGGTGCTGAAAGGGCACACACAAGAGGTGAGTTCACACTCTCAATAGTTCATGTTAAAGCTCCCTGCACTTAGCACTTCATAACTTCTGAACTGCAAAACTTCTGGCCTTGGTGTAGGTGTATTCAGTAGACTGGAGTCAGACACGGGGGGAGAACCTGGTGGTATCGGGATCGTGGGACCACACAGCCAAAGTGGTAAGTGGAGTTGGTTTTAGAAGGTGAATATATGCAGACATTGTTGAAAAATGAGACTTAGTTCAATTCTTAACTAAGGCTAAAAATGCAACTAACCTTTAAAATGAAGATAAAAACTCTTTCTTTCTGTGCACTGGTGATCAGACATACTGTAAATGTTGTTACTTGTTGACATAAAATAAGCTCCATGGTTGTCCTGATTTGCACACAGTGGGATCCGGAGCGATGTCAGTTAGTGAGCTCCCTGCAGGGTCATGAGGGTGTCATCTACAGCACAATCTGGTCTCCTCATATCCCAGCATGCTTTGCTTCAGCCTCAGGTAGGAAAATGAGCTGTATCTGTCCTCCCATGAAGTTTGGAAGGATTGCTGCTTTACTTCTGAAAATTACTGTGTTGGGATGCAGATATTAGAGTAGACTACAAATATTATAGGGTGATCAGACATGCATATCAAGATGGTACCATGTGGCAGACCAAAACAATCAGAATCAGAAAAAGCCTTATTGCCAGGTATGTTTATACACATGAAGAATTTGTTTTGGTGAAAGAAGCTTCCACAGCACAAACAGAATGACTGCGACAAGACACATAATAAAAAGAATAAAAATGTAAATAGACCATGAGTTTTATTTCTAAGAAAAGCATGTACTGATAAAATCTTTGAAAGCAGCTGAAGTCTCTTTGGATATATACTGTGTGTGTATTAGACTACCAGTCCATTTTACCAGTTCAAGGGACTTTTTGCTAATTATATTGTGAGGGATGGGAGAGGACAGGAAATTAAGAGGAGAAAAGGGAAAATGGAATTGTGAAACCATGTTATTTTAGTATCACTGAGGTACTGTTATAGTTTATTAATATTTTGATATTATATTTATATATTTTGATATAA